GGATGCTTGAATAGAACAGAGCCATCGTTAATGTTATTGGTTACAAAATGTCTGCTGTGAAAAAGGCCAACAGCTTTAGCTATCACTCATTTTACTTAATTTGATGGAAGCTAACAGAGTAACACTAATACAAAATCTAAAAACGCAATCATCTAATTGAGGGAACTGTGTTTTAGCATGTATTTGAAGTCCGCGCAAAAGATTTATATTACTTACCTGTACACATTTCTTGTCTCTACAAGGAGTACAGCATGGCCAATGCTGCATACGCCACTGCGTAAATAAATCAAAGGAAAGAATGAGTCAAGGTCGGATGTGCATATACTCTCCAATTTGGCTAGGTTTGACTTATTTGGCTGAGAGAAAGAAGAGTGAGACAAGGACGGGGTTTTCTTTTTGAGGAAGAGCACTGAAACAGTCTCAAATAAAGCAAATGACGACAGTATGAAGGAGAGGAGAGGACGGGGAAGAAAATGATTGGATGTTGGCACGCAGGGAAAAGCAGTCTGCGGTAGACTTGTAAATAGCCGGAGGGACAGAGGGATGGAGGAATGGAGCTATCAGCAGAGAAGTGATGAAGGTCTGGGATCAGGCCAAAGTAAACACAGGCCTAGCCCAGAAGGAGCTGCAGCACCACAAACGCACACTCTCACACACACACGCACACACAAATGAATTTTACTCACACATATATGTACAGATGCACAAATATACCAACACTCAAGGCTGCATGGAGCACTTTATATTCATCACACACACACACTAATGCATGCACTTGCCTGTCGACAAATAAACATTGCACTGCATGGCTTGCAGACCACAACTCCTTGAGTGTTAAGCTGTGTGACAATAGCCTGAGCTGTCATTCGGACGTCTCGTTTCATCACATACTTCCCATTAGCCAAGATACCACAGAGTAAACAGGCAGCGAAAGCAAATGGTTTGCGTTATATTTTTAAACACATGGCATAGGCCGAGATAGCTGAGCCCTCAGAAAATCCATCTTAATGTCTTGGTGGAGTCATTTAAAATAATACTGCAATCCTTACCATGAGAAAACAAAATACTTTGTAATATAATTCTCAAAGACAAAAATTCCAGCTGTGTCCTGTAGATTTAATCATGGCGGGGAGACATTTGTCACTACCGTTAATGTGCGTGCTTGCGTGTGTGTTTTCTGCTACGCATTTGTTCAAGTGTGCTTATCTGCATGCACAGGAGTTAATGTGTTTCGCTGTTTGTCCGTGACTGTGTGACTGAGCTTCATTAGCGTGCTGCGAAGCGAGAGCTCTCCTGCTCCGTCTTGTCTTTCGACCAAGTAACACCTTGAGTGAAACCTTAACATTTGCCAAATGTTATTTTAAGCGCTGCATTGAGAGGCATTTGGCAAAACTGCAGCATGAAAGAGCAGCTGTGAAGCGTGTCTGGCTGGAATGCAAAACACAAGTCATGGTCATCACTCTGTCACCATACAGATGAAGGCTTTGATGGTCTGTGTGTCATTTTCTTTTCCTGACAATTTAAGCAAGGCACCAATTGCTATGTGAATATGATATTAGAGTGACGCAGGATCATAATAAAGAGAATCCATCCTCAATAAAGATATGTTGATATAGAGGTTATTTATAGCAGCTATAATCGACCTATTTTAAATAACATGTCCAATGAGTAGGTATAATATGACAGGGTTCACTCGTAGTGCCCAACGGACAAATATGACCCAAATCTACAATTTCCCTTTTATTGCTTTCTAGCATCTTTCAGCTCACTGTTTTGGTGTTGCCGCGCCAACTTTACTCTGTTGGTCCGCTCTCGCTTGTCTACAGCTGTTGTCAGAGAAAAAAGCTTTAAGATTAGACTGCACACTTCCTGTCCAGCGCCAAATGGCAAAGACAAAGTAAGCAGCGTGCTCGTAAACATTTGAGCATGTAGCAGCCAAAGACTTAGCTGAAAGGAAAGTGATTACTGGATTTATATTCGTTCGTGCGTCAGTGTTGTATGCACAGTTTGTTTCCACTTCCCCCAAGTGGCAACATCTTTTTTTTAGATAAGTGCTTGCAGGTTGAAGACAAAAATGTAAATGTCCAGCGTGTAGGATTTAGGGGGGTCTGTTGGGAAAATAAGTTTGTTTTCTTTAGTGTATAATTATCTAAAAACAAAAACCGCTTTGTTTTCGTTGTCTTAGTATGAGCCGTTTCTATCTACATATGGAGCGCGTCCTCTTCACAGAGTCCACCATGTTACATTACCAAGTTTCTACAGTAGCCCAGAACCGACAAACCAGATACGGGCTCGGCTGTACTGGTGTTTTCGCGTCAGCCGCCGTAGTTCTCCGCGTAGTTTAAATTGGTTGCAATCTGCAACCTCACCGCTAGATGCTGCTAGATTCTACACACTGGCTCTTTAAGATTCCAGAAATATTCCTCTCAAATGTGATATTGTACTTTTTTTTTTACCTCAAAATGTGCGCACAGTCTTGGCCCTTTTCCACTGAGTCTACTTTGTGTCATCATTATCAAAACTGCTCAACTTTGGCTAATACTGAGATTGCTTAGCTCCTGCAGGTACACCAGACATTGGCACAGCAGAATTCATTTGCGCATCCTCACAAAATAAGTTATGATGGTCTTACTCTGCCGAGATGTTCCATCTCATGTAAATGCGCCTGTATGGCTCTTCTCAGGAAACACAAAGATTAAAAGCTGCCGTGTAAGTGAGCACATGTGCGAGTGTGTTTACCCTTTTGAAGCTCTCAGATTATTAATCTCCATGAGTGCCGGTCATGGATGCAGTGGTGGTACTTGTGGCTTTGTGGGTGTGTGTTGTTTTATACATAGAGCAACCTGCATGCCAGTTCAAAGCCACCCTGTCCAGTATACGAGGAGACATGAAAGCAGCACTCAGCGACATGTTCAGTCTGAAGATCACAGAGCAAAAATGGCGAGGAAGATTCACCAACATAAACAAATCAAACTCACCTTCATTTTAGAGTTTGCCAAATCAAGCGCACCCACATGTTAGGGGCTCTTAATGGCATGGACGCAGCCCCCGTCTCATGGAAGAGAGGTGGACTGTAGCGTTATACTGATATACTATAAAGTAATGCATTGGTAATGTACTCCAGAAAGTGGGAATTCAATGTAAATGTTCAGATATCACTTGATCTATTTAATCGATTTTTATTCAAATAGATGCATTTGACCACAAATCTGCTTTGGGAAATAAATAATGGTGCTGCTGGACATCAGAAATGAGTTCCTCAGTCTGAACACAGGTGACGTGATGAGAAGACTAAAAAGTAACATCGACCAGGTATGACTGCTGATGCCCATCACCACTTCAAGCATCTACTTTATTATGTCCAACCTGATGCCGAACAATGGGAACACTGACAGTCGTGTGTTATGAACAAGCTGGGTTGTTTGAGTGTTTTAGCGCACTGGGCTCCCAGGCGGGCTGTAGCTTTGTCAAAGCGCTGTATTGTATTTCTTTCCTGTGCCAGAGCCCGTTTCCTGTGGCGGTGCGTGTCAAACGATGACCCTCGGCTTCCTGCAAGTCGCATGGAGACGGGCCTGCCACGAGCCCTGGGGCCTCACCGCCAGCCACTGAACAACCTCTGAGACCCCACTCTGTCTGTCTGCCTGCTTTCAAGTCATTACCCACTTTGCCCTTCCTTTTTGAATCTCATGTTTTTTTCTAGCCCCTTGTCTTGTTTCCCTTAATTCTCAACCTCCCTTTAACCTGTGCTTCTTTTATTTTACTCCAATTCCATTTTACATCTACCGCCTTCTTTAATATTTTCTTATTTGTTACCTTGTCTGTCCTCACCCCCTTCTCCTCCATGTTTCCCTTCGTCCACACCTCCTTTCCTCTTTGCATCCCTTCTTCCCTCCTCCCTTTGTCCAGGTCAGAAGAGGGTCTGTGAGGGGTTTCCTGTGTGAGCCGCAGGTCCAGACCACACCTTGTGAGGGGATTTCTGCAACTGCCAGTGCCGTCCTGTAGAAACATGCGTGTGCACGTCTGCATACATACACAAAGCTATACTGTACACACTGAAATATATATGGTTGTTCTTGGCAATACACTGGTGACTGTGTTGAAACGTTGTCGGTAGGATGAAAAGAAACTTGTGGGAAAAATGTCAGACAGAAATGATATCAACGTTCCATCTAAGATAAGCAAAACCAGAAAAGCTCAAAGTGTGTTTACACATATTCTGAATAAAATCACAGCGACCGACAGAAGATAGCTGTCGACCTCTCCGAGTGATAAGTCAAGTCTGTCTTTTTGCGCACTCAAACAAGTTGTTTTTACAACATAAGCAAACAGCCTACAGCCACATCTCTGCTTTTGAGTATGAGAAAGCTGTCAAATCATGCAATGTTGGTCCCCAAAGAAATCAACCACATGGCACGTGGGTTAAATACTCAACCCGCCTGACGTCTGTAGTGGAGCAAATCAAATCATGCCTACTACTACTACTAGTATAGTTTTAAAAACTTATGGTAACTTATACTTTAATATCTCGGTAGTACGTGAGCGGATGTGTGTGCGTTTGATTTGGCACGGTCCGCTATGTTCCGCAGGTCGGCTTGTCTTTGAATCGGCCTCTCGTCTCCTTTGACTGAGGGTCACGAGTACACACGCGTGCCGGCAGCAGTAACACGCTTCACTGTGGATCTCTGAAATGACTCCCGTAGTCTTCTTCCAGTCCAGGAAGTGAGCTGGGAGGAAGAATAGGAAGCTGAAGCTGCTCTCTCTGGCTGCAGGTAGTGACCCTGAACCTTGACCTCCAACCTCACCCGTCATAAGTCTGACAATACACACTGACAAAACACAGACGTGCAAACACAGCGGTGTTGCCTACAATTTGCAGATATTGAAGGAACTGTGTCTGGCAACACATGACCTCTAAATAGCTGATCTTTCTGACGTACATGTACAAGTTTTTTAAGGCATCCGAGTCTTCAATAGATCAATAAAGACATTAAAATCCAGAATTATAATTTATCTTTTTATTATTTGACAACAATAACAGCATGTTGCATTGGTTCACTCATTACATTTACAGAAGTGGTCAAGAAAGCTGTATTCATGGACGTTGTTAACACAATCATCCATCTTTCCTTCCTTCCTTTATCACACTGTTTGACGATGCTGGAGGTACAGCTGATGAAGAGACTATTAGGACATAAGCTCTGTCCAAAACCAACCCGCGGACCTTACACATTTATAAAGGTGGCAAAACCAGCATCCATGTTCCTGCCGTCTGCACCAGAGAGATGTAAACCTTTTGAAGTAATGCTGATGTATCATTGATCACACGTGGTCTAGATGTTTTTGGACAGAGCCCATGGCTTGGGAAGGTGACTGACTTTCTGGCGCTGCCTCACCAGCTCCAGAAGAATAACCTACTGCCATGTTTGGAAGGCTCCAGTTTACCCTCAATGGCTGGGTTGGCTTCAGGACGTGGTCTAGACTGGTAGGGGTTCTCGGGGAGGGCCCGCTGGGTCTTTACTTTGGTCACCTACGAAAGAAAAGACACATGCGTCACGGGCTTCATTGAAGTCAGTGTAAACGGTCCACAATTCTTCTTTAAACTTTAAACTTCTAACAGCCATTAGGGGGAAACTCCTCTGGTTGCAAAAGATGGCTGATTAAATGAAGTCTATGAGAAAATGATCCTACTTCTCACTTGATGTATTACCTTAGTGAGCATTCTTAACTGGTGTCAATCAATAGTTTCAAGTCTTCTTCAATACAACAGGATGTTCATTTAGTAAATGATGGTCCCATTTAGAAGACATGTATGCTTTAGGTTTAGGACATGGCTACCTTATGATCGACAGGTCTCTGTCATCATCCAGGTTTCCGTCTTAAAACTTTAACCCTTTCACGGTGTGCTTGTTCATGGAAAGGAATTGTAACATTTTGGTAAAAACAAAGAATGAGCAAAAAGACTTTTCCCTTACATCATGATTTACAGCCTCTTTCATCCTTTCGCCTGCGTTTTCCCTACTTTGCACTTTGTGTGCAACTTCTTTGTCAGGTCTGTCCTTCCTTTACTCTTTTCCTCCGTTCCTGACATGCTCTGGCCTCCACCATCCCAAACACAAGTCTTTGAATTTGTTGTATAGCTGAGCAACCAGAGAAACTTGGTGGACAGTCAACCTGGACATTTTTCTAAGTGACATCAAGTCAAAAGTTTGTTCTTTTGTTTCCTGCTCATGTGACGCGATTCCATGAACGACAGTTCTGTTTGGCAGATGCAGAATGGCCTGAAAGTTGATTGCAGCCATTCACACCCTCCCAGGTTTGTCCACATGTCTTTTCAAAGACGACAGAAATAAATGTCATAAAAAGCTATTGTCAAGATCAGTTTTTGGTCTTGTTTTGACTGCTGCTACCTAATTAGTTGCTGCCAGCATGTTATGGAAGCCCTTTAAAAATGGCAATTTTATGAAAAGAAAAAACAACGCAACACAAAATGCGTGATTTGTCTGCTCAGAACTACAGCCGAATGACACCACGACGCAGACGCAATCAGAGACTCTTGCACAGCCCATAATCAGCCAGAATAGAGCCCATCAAGCGAGCTGCTCCCATTGTGAATGCAGTCAATCCCTCGAATGGCTCACCTTAGACAGGTCTCCCAGCTCGGGCCTCTGCCACCCCAGCTTATCGAGGGCGCAGCCGTCGAAGGCCTGCTGCTGCTTACGGCAGTGCCGCAGTTCCGCCAAGTTTGAATAATCCAGACAGGTCCAGTACTCCGTGAAGGACTCGGCACAGCTGCCCTTGATTTGCCTACGAGGAAGAGTGCAAACAGAATCAGAATAAAATGGGTATAAATAAATAAATATTTTTGGGGCAATAGTCCAAAAACAAATGAAAAGTCACGCTTCACTCATGTCAAAGACTTTAAATAAATTGAGGATTATGACAAAAACATTTTAAGGTCTCCATAAGAAGAACTTTCTTAACTGATCGAGTGAATTAAATTCTTCTAAAGTTTGCTGGCAGTTGCCAGAAGCAGCTAAGAATCAAACCAGGTCCCGGGCGCAATTACAGCTTTTTTTTCAAATCTTTCCTCATTATAATAATTATAGGTATTGCTCTTTCACAGTAACTCTCAGTTTATCTTTGGGGTCAGAGTGTCGGTTGTTTGTTTCGGCTTTAAAATTAGAGGTCATGTGTTTTAGAGAACCAGAAACACAATCTGTTTTAGACAGACAGGCAGGCAGACACACACACACAAAAGCATCTGCGTTGCTGCATGGGCATCAGATCAGGATTTAGGCAAATCGCAGTGCAAAACGTTCAGTAAACACAGACGCAGCAGTTGAGAGTGAGGAACCCCAGACCACTTCCCCTAATAGCCCTCGAGGGCAGTTTTATAGACACAATAAACTCTGGACTGAACTCGTTCATGTTTGAAAATGAACCCTTTTCTTCTTTAGATCATTGTTTAATAAAATAAAATGGCACAGAGAAATTACATAAAGGTGTTGTCGCAAAAAAAATGCAGAAAAAACAATCATTATTAGATTTGTATTAAATTAAAAGTTCATATATAGTACAGTGAAGATAATTATGGAAAAAGCTTTGTGGGAATAAATACTGACTCAATAGAATAACATTATCACAAAGCTTTAAGATAAGCACTGCAACACAGTAACTTACTCAATGGAAAATAACTTTAGAAACACTGGCAACATCCTAGAAAAGTTATTTAAAGTTTGACTAGAAATGTTGTGGGTATTTCTCCTTGTTTTACATTCAGTTTGGTCATGGCATGAGGCATAAACTCACCATAAAAAGAGCATGGAGATGTCCTTTACCATCATATCCTCATGCAATAAGTTTGGTTCTACTTATAATATTTACTACCTCACTGTTTCGGGTTTGAAAAGGGCCTTTTTCTTCATTTTACTTTTATTTTTGTGGGTATTGTGGAGCATTCTTCTTGTATTCACATTCACAAGTTGTCTGTTAATTAATCAATCATCTTTCCTTCCATTAAGATACACATCAGGACATTAATGACATCATATACACCATCACACCCGGAATTTCTTAAAAACAAGAAAATCAGAAGACTTAACATTTAGCTACAAATACTCACCACTGAAAGTTCAGCGCACATAGTACAAACACTGAACAAGCTACGGACAGATGTGTTATGTTTATAACTCTGTCCTTACCAGAATTAACAAGTTATCTTACACTTCACTTTTCTTTTTCTGTAAATTCTGCTTGCTCACCTCCATCCCAAATGGTGCACTCACTGGAACTTCATTTCTTTCCTTCCCTTAAATATCTTTATATATATATATATATATATATATATATATCAGGAGTATTTGGCGGCAAAAAGATTGAAAAGCCTGGGTGAGAGTTACCTGAAGAAGTTGAGTGCACACTCGTTGACTTTCCTCCCTTCTTCTAGACACTTTCTGGGGTCCTTCTCCTCCCAGCGGCAGAGCATGAACTCCTTGTTGGCTTTGTCACACTGGGAGCCATAATGGTGGGCAGCAGCCTTAAGCACCGCAGAGGAGACATTGACCTGGACAGAAACAGATAGTTATAGTAGATAGTAGATAAACGAAGACATTTTAAGACATTTTTCTGAGAGATTATTATTATGTATCCTGACGTGTGTTGATATTAGTGACCCCATTAAAAGAGCTGAAAGAATGCGTTTGATTTGAATATTGGGGATCAATGTAATGTTCATCCAGTTCAGAGACTGCAGCTAAACAGCTAGGCTAGCTAAAATAGTGAAAAGTGCACCTTTTAAAATCTTGCATAGAGCCTGCTTTGTTGTATTTATTGTTTACCTTGTGTATTTAGAACAACAACAATGAAAAATAGACCGTTATGAAAGAGGCAGCTATGAGGTCTGAGCTATTTCTTGGAGGACAACCATATATTATTTTGTCCAACATCTCTTTAAATTATTTAATAACTACAGGAGTGTTGTCAGGTGCGTGGATTGTGTTGACCTCTGATGGGAACTTCAGGACAGATATGATGGAAATGTTTTACAAAATCCATACTGTGCTTTAAGCAGTCTAGTCTCACACACACGATACTCAATATTGAGAATGTGTGAATGCAATTAAGTATATTTCATTAAAGCTAGCTAAAGTAAAACAATGTATTATGTCCTTGGCTATACAACACCACTTCACATGTACTATAACACAATAGCATAAGGTTTACGAGTGGGGAGGTAATAGCATCGAATACAGTGCAATTCTAAATATATTGAATTCAAAAGAAACTTGTAGCTTACATGCACGAATTGTGTTTATTAGATCTGTGATGTTGCCTTATTAGTGTTGGAAGACAACAAGGTGCTGCCAGCTAACACCTGACTTCCAAGGACAAGATCAATGTGTCAAATAACACTGCTGCCGACACAAACCGGCCAGCTTTGTTTCGAGGCAGACATTGTAAAGTTACTGTGACCATAAGGAATTGTATAGGAGCTCTATAAAGCGGGCTTTAAAGACTGCGAAAAAAATGCTGCTAGTGTTGTCAATATAGATATCGGGACATTCGCTAGTTGCATTCAGATATGAATGCTGGTGGATTCATTATACATTTAGATTATCCGACTAACTCTCAGCATTGCAAAGGCAGGTAACACCGGTGGCAAACGTTATGGACTACTGAGCCTGTTTTGAACCAGGCAGCAGGTTCAGTTAGCAAGCGGCTAGATAGCTAGCATGTTCTGCCTTTGCTATGATTTCCAGTCAAGCTTAAAGAAAATAACCGCCGCTCACCTCGTCCACCTTCAGCTCCTCCTGTGACGGGACGTCCAGCGTTGTGGACATGGCTGTGTGTGTGTGTGTGTGTGTGTGTGCAATGAAACAAAACACAGAAGTTTAAACGCAAAACATTCAAGGTCCTCGTCTGACTCCAGGACGAGCGACGACGAGGCCGCGAGAAGGAAGGTCAGTTTGGTTGGGTACCGCAGTCAGCTCGGAGGCGCGTTCTGATGACGCAATCGAGTGCGCGGACAAAGCTGGGAGACGCATGCGCATGCGCACTTACATCCATGTAAACTGTGAAAGTTTGATCAATTTGTTAGTTGTGTTGTCTCTTTTGCTATAAATGGAAATGGTTAAAATGATAAACTGTGACAAACGATGCATTGCTCTTCACGCTGACCAGTTTATGACGTAGGCTTCCTCTGGTGCTCTGTTGCCATGGTGAGATGACACTTAGCCATTGTACGGTATCGCCCAGTTGATAAAACAGTTCTTTGTGCTTGTTTGTTTATTTTGAGAAGAAGCTTGCAAGTAAATGTAGTAATGGAGCTCATCGGAAGCAGTTATAAAGGAGAGACAAAAAATGGCAAGTAAGTGTATTTTTCATGACCGTAAAGACGGCAGGATAACCAATTATATGAAACATGGTTGATTCAGTTTACCTTTGCTATGTGACCACCTCTTCTCTACCTCAGGATGGATGGAAAAGGAGAGTACACGTTTCCCACAGAGAGCAAGTATGTGGGCAAGATGAAAGAGGGGATGTTTCATGGCAAAGGAGTGCTACACTTTCCAAATGGAAATAAATATGAGGCCACCTGGGAAAACGGCAAAGCTAAACAGGTGAGGAGTAGTGTGTGTGTGTGTGTGTACATGTCAGAGTATATGCATCCACATGCATGACTGTGTGTTTCACATTGGTTATAGTTGATATTACATCTGGTCCCTTTTAGCAATCACTCAAAATTATTGTCGTAGTTATTAGGTTTCTCTCCTGTTTTTCACTTCACTTCTCCTCTGATGCAATCCTTCATGGGCTTTTGCCACAACAGCGATCACTCCAATTATTATCATCATTTCAGTTGCTGGTCATTTGAAACGATAGCAGTTCTGAACCATGACTAACCGTGACCCAGACTACTCTGCACTTGCATCCATGTCAGTTCAATAAAACCTACTTCCAATCAAAACAGACCTAAACAGACTGGAAACTATATCTGGTAGCTTATAGGAAACTTGCACTTGAGTTTATGGTCTCAATCGCTAGTTTCATATCTTCTTCAATACAGCATGATGTTCATTTTACAAATTATGGTCCTATTTAGAGTCAAATAGACCAGAAAACGGAACATGCCCTACGTCACTGATCCGCATTCCAAATATGGTAACTTCCGGTCATCGGTTGACTATTTGCTTTATCAAACAGTGCTCTAAAATACAACAAAAATAAGATTACCAGTAAAAATTCAATGACTCATACAAGTTAACTGAACTTTATTTTTTACTTCAGACATATTGACGCGTACAGCAGGAAAAGCACAGGTGTCATTAATAACAATGATCAAGGCTGAGTTCCACAGGTGTTCCAGGGCCCCGCTATACTGTGCATGCTGGCTCACTGATATGGGGTGATAGGACACTTCAGTGGAGCTGTAGCATCATTGATGTCATAACCTAAACTTGTGCATCTCCTGCAATGACCAGTCTAAACGTCTGCTGTGAGAAAGGTCTATATAGAAAAGACAACGCTGAATCTATAGTGTGTGTTATCACACCAGTTGTTAAAATTACAAATTCACCCCCTTAACGTGGGTCTTCTCGATGCCCCGGCGAATAAGCACCTAAAAATGTACATGTTGTACAAGAAATAATGCCATTTTCATGATTGCAAATGATAAGTGAAAATGTTGTCATGCGTCCACATTTTGCAAAATTACTGAACAGTTATTTCATTCCTCAGAAAAACATGCACGCACATACACACTTTGCCCAAAGGACATATTTTTCCACTTTCCCCTAGTGGTTTATATCTATGCAGACAGTTTGGGTTTTATCTGCTGAGGTTTTGAGATATCAATCTCTAAGATTTCCGCCTTAACCCAAAGACAATGGAAGAACATTTAAATTATTTTGTGGCGCTTAAAGCCCTGAGAAGAAACATTTGAAAACCTCAACAGCAACTTATCTCTCCAGAAACCATGTCTGGGGTGGGACAGGATAACTCCCAGACCTTTCTTTTAACAGTTTTCACAGGAGCTACTTTTTGCCAAAGACACAGCCCCAAATAAAACTTGTTTGTTTCGCCTGTTGAGTGTGTATTTTTCTTTGAGGAGCACAAATGAAACTCCATTGTATAAGGGTGGTGGAAGATGTAAATATCATGACATTGTGGCACATAACATTGAAGCTATCTTCATGGCAACACACCATAGAGGTAAGTGACATTTTTATTTATTTATTTTGTGCTTTCTGTTGTAATTTGGGTGATCTGACCCATCGAAGTCTATGGCTGAAGAATGAGGATGATTTCACCACTGTGCTTCCTCACAAGGGATCATTGATCTTTGCTGATGGTCTGCAGTACCAGGAGAAGGACTGGGACTACTGTGATGGATACGACAGGCGCTTCTACAGTGAGAGGTGCAACGGACTCAGACCTGCAGGTTGCAAATTCATTTACTTGCTTGTGTATTCGCTCATTCGGTCCGATGACAGTGGTTTCTTCACTATCCCACTCTCAGACATCTCACATAAATTAGCTTGAAATATAATAACAGTAACACACACCCAAAGCCGCTAAAATGACGAGCACATGTTCAACAGTACAGACCACAAAAAACAAAAGATCAGCTAAGTGCGTTCATTGATTCTATGATCTATATACATCACTAACCTGACAAATAGATAAACTTCCCATCACTTTAAACGTATGAGCATTTCACATGACACTTTAACTCGGGGGAAACATTAGAGCCATCAGAAAGGACTGAGATTTGAACACATCATAATAATAATGACTTTTGTTAGTAGTTGTAAACCACCGCCGTTTAATACAAAACAACTACAACTACATACAGAATCTCAGCTAACTGATCTTCATCCGCCACGCGTCATTCCTGATGGATGCTACGACTGTGGGGATGGTTTCTATGACCCCAATACCAGAGTCGTCTCTTCCTACACTGGCAGATTCCTCAGGAATGCAGGTAAGACAGTAAATATCCTGTTATTTTCACTGTGTTAGCCCTGTGACACCAAAGGTGACTGGCTTACCGGAGATGTGTCCTCTAACATGTAACCCCTACCTTTGAACAATCCTTTGCCAGTAAATAATGGATACCTTCCAACTTGGACATATTTTGTGAGGCTTACTGGCTTACTGTGAGGTGAACAAAAGAACTACAAACCAGATATTAAACTCAAATTTCAAAATTCAAAAACATCAAATAATCAAAATTGTACCACCGTTTCTCACGGCTTACTTCGCTGTAGTGTGCGCACATCTTTTTCCCACTAATTTGAGGCCAAATTGGCTCCATCTGAGTGTTGAGTAATATCCAGGCATCTTAGCCTTTTGTGCCAAAGAAAATGAGAAAGATGAAAGTCAAGAGCAAACAGAAATTTCCAATTTAAATTAAGTATGCACAGTTTTATGTCCAAAAAAAAGCCCCTTGTCAGTGATAGATTGCTGTATATTAAATATGTTTACATAGTAACTTAATAAAGAAGCGCCACTGATCAACAGTCCAGTGTATTTCCAGAGCCTGCTTTAGTGTGAGCTGTAGTTTGCACCTATGGTCAAGCGAATGGTTTGTTTTAGGGCTTTGCCGGAAATGAACATGCACACGGCTCTAGGATAGAGTGGACAATGTAATGTATTGGGGTTGTTTGTTTGCACGTCCGTTATCATCACATACCTGGACAATGTCTGCTTAGTGTAGACTGCCACACTCATTGTTTGATATAGTTGAATTATTCAAGGAAATTAATGCCCTCTCAGGCCAAAACCTCAATAAGATTCAAGAGTTAAAAGTCATACATACAATCAGCCAAATTAGTAGTGAGGGAGGCCACAGAAAAGGCCTTACTGAAAATACTTTGAAACATGCAACCGCTCTTGTATTGAATTTGTCTCAGGCAGGACCCGTTGTCTTTGCCCATTTTTTATTATTTTTTTAAATAACTGCATCTCTGAAAGCATTTGGCCATATGGGAAAGATTTGATAGCAATGAACCTATGGAGTGATGCTAAATGGATTATCCCTGGATTCACTGATGGAAGATTATTGCTACAAGTCATCTGATAAGCATGCTTCCTCAGGCTATTGCAACTTTTTTTTTTCTCCCTTTTGTTATTTGTCAAAAGTGGAAAATTCAAGACACATTTTTCCACTGAACGGGTGCCCAGATTTGGAGCTCCTGATTTGAAGTGAATGTGATCTGTCAGGTGTCCAGATAGGAATTCCCAAATTCTGACATCCTCTGCTCATCATGTCTCCTATGATTTTACATCACTGGACAATGTTGTGAATTAGGCAGCGGGTAATGAATTACATTCTAAATACATGTCTTTTGGCTCACCGAGGTTTGGTCCAGTTTTATTGCTGTGTTTGACATTACTGTTTTTATCTGACACGTGCAGTGCCCAAACAGCTTTGATCACAGATACATGCATGGGGGTGTTGTACAAACGTGCATGACCCTTTGCTTTTAATAGCAGAAATGCAGGAAGCATGCAAATCAGGCAATATTTTGGTGTTCTGTCATCTTTAAAGAATTCAGACACAGTGCAGCAGTGATGATCCTTGCTGTTTTTAACATAACAAATCTAGAAATGTGTCAAGATATGATTCCTGGCAGAAGTTTAAGGTATGACTTACAAGCTCCCTAAGGTAAAAATGTATTTTTGGGCAGACCATTTGCATTCAGATGAGCTACTTGCAACACAGATTAGTTTTAAAAGCACACGTATCTCATAACATATGTGGAGAGAGAGAGAAGGAAACAGAGGAGAAGATCCACATCCTCGCCAGATGTGCATTTGCAAGAAGACAAAAATATGTTTTGGGATTTTTCCATGATGCGGGTTGTTCATCATCATTACAGCTCTGGTATTGATCAGTGGAGTGACGGAGAGAAAGAGAGAAGAGGAAAGTTGGGATGGAAATGAATCGGAACTGAACACTCCAATAATACTCTGACTCTGTTTTTAAATATGGAGTCCAACAGGAACTATTTAATTGGCGCGTGCCTGTTTATGTGTAAGTGGCTTACGCTACACATCGCAAACACAAACTACCGTATGTGCGCTCTCCCTCCTGTCTTGATGCGCGTTTCTTGAGAAGAATGCTCCTGTATCCGGTATGGATTTATTTTTCAACCCTTGGAGGCGAAGGCACATTTGTCAGAGTGGGTGTGATAACAGAATTTATTGCCTCACAGCTTCCGCCCAGGATGAGGACTGCGGGGATGATGGGACACGGGGAAGACTCACCCTCCCAGAAGGGGACGTTTGCTGCAGCAAGGAAAGAGGAAGGAGCTCCCCATGTGGCCGTTACAAACTGGTGGATGTAGGACAAGGAGGCCTCATATCTAGTTTAAACTGCCCTCCTAAGTTATTGTTGCCAACTTGGACAAACAGCCCTCCTTGGCATAGAGCCAGCTAGCAAAACAATAGGATCTGTCGCTGATATTCCCCCAGAGGTTATTGATTATATTTGGAGTTGAACAGATTTCTTGTCATGGAGGAGCTTCTTTGGAGTGATGTGCCGAGAATACTGGAGACCTGTGCAGAAATGTGGCACGATGGAGGAAATGGAGGGTGGTGAGAGTAAGTGTGTCAGTTGGGATTATTAGGAACCTCCCATCACAGATGATATCCACAGGGTTCAAATGTTAGATCACTGAAACACATTACTGAAAGGCCTAATAATTGTAGGGTTGGTGGTTTCTTCCACATGTCGAAGTATTCTCAAGCGAGACATGAATGAATGTAACGCAAATAATACTACGAAAAAATGGGATGTTTGACCCCCTTTCTGGCCTGCTCAGCACTTTAAAAACCAATGTATTTCACTTCACTCATTAGTTTTGGGCATGGACCAGGAAGCATTTACACAGATTAGAGTCTTATTGCCTCATGGCACTGGGCGTCGACCAAAATTACTCTACCAGAAAATGGTGCAGTCTTTTTAACCAATAGCTGATGACATGTGCCCTCCGTTAGTTACACGTTCCCACTGGGCAGACAAAGGACATTGCTTCCTATATTTTTGTTACATTTGTTTTCTGATTAAATCTAAGGAAAGATGTGCCATTCACTCGCACCTTCATGCTTGATTGCATATCTTTAATTCCAAGTTGCATCTGGGTTTACAGCATTCGCTTGGTTTGAATGATGGACTCAGTGCTTCCAAGTAGATTTTAGAACATCTGTAAGACAGTTGTCAGACGAGGAGTCAAACAGGTCATATGGATACAAAGACACCTTCTGCAATACACAGAAGACAAAAAGAAAGGAATGTCTTGAGAGTGTGTGACATTGCAGTGTGTGTGTGTGTGTGTGTGTGTGTGTGTGTGTGTGTCAGTGATGAGTGAATGCAGGTGGTGAAAGATGAACATTCAGGGATCACAGACTTTGTTTCTTCAATGCTTGAGATTTGAATTAAGATCTGATTTTTTTTATTTTATTTGAATGTTCATTGTGTCATGAGATCATTACAACAAACATGTGCTTCCACTTACAACCACCTCCACGTGTCATAGTTAACCAGCCCAGCTTAAAATACACCCAACAGATTTCAACACAATGAAATTACTGTTAAACCTGAATCACAAATCACATCATCAACAAACAACTCTTAAAGGCTATTTTCTATCCCAAACCTCCAGACACATAATTGTACTTAATTTGTCATTGCTGATGAAGATTGTTACTCAAGTTTGAAGGTAGAATACAAAACATGGATGCATAAAACTGCAATTAAAAAAGAATGAGAGGAAAAGATGCATAGGCCACATCTGCACAATCAAATCTCCACCACGTACTGATTTGTTCTGTTATTACAAACAAACACACACACACACACACACACACACACACACACACACACACACACA